ATCCCCCCCTCAGTGGAGGGCAACCTTCAATACTGGGGGTCCCCAAAACATCTGCGGAGGGGAACTCCACTGGGGCGAGTGCTGGCATACCAAAAACTAAATTGTATAGAAGCATGAGGAGAAGTTGAATAATTGTTATTTAACATGGAAATCATATGTTCTTGTTTATTAACATGTGAGGAACTATATAATTACCGTATTTTCCGGACTATAAGTCGCTCCTGAGTATAAGTCGCATCAGCCAATAAATGCGTCGTGAAGAGGAAAAAAACGTATATAGGTCGCACCGGACTATAAGTCGTATTTATTCAGATATTTATTTTCAAATCCAAGCCAATAACAGACATTTACGGTAAACTGGAAAGGGAAGTTATTAACTACACAGGTCCGGTATGTTAACGCAACACATACCTTCTACCTGGAGGCTGGCTCTGCGAGTCGGGCTAGGGTGGCATGCTTCTACCCCTTGACGCGCTCCGACGGAGGACTGCTGGGACAGACGGGGCATCTCGGACGCACCCACTGAGCATTCGGCCGCTGGGCTGGTAGGGGTGGACCCTGCGCCGCACCGGACACAAGACGGCGGGCTAACAACAGACGGCTAACAAGCTAACAAGACGGCTAACAACAGATGGCTAACAAGCAGCTAACCCGGAAGAACCGTCCGCTCTCTTCTTCGTTTTTTTCAGTGGTATAGGGGCAGCATATAGTTGTCACAAGCCTAGAGCGCCCTCTGGTGGCTGTAGACGGTTCATGTCAGTCAGCATGAATTGACATTTAAAACATATATACGTCGCTCCTGACTATAAGTCGCAGGACCAGCCAAACTAGGAAAAAAAGTGCGACTTATAGTCCGGAAAATACGGTAGTTCTGAAAGCAATTCAAGTTTTCAAATAACCGCCCTCTTATAAATGTCCATTCTAGTGGACGTCAGGACCGTCTTCATGGACTTTATGACTCAACATTGTTGCAGGAGACGGAACTGAAGCAGACATTTTCTGTACCAGATAGTTCAGGGAGATTCAGATGTTGAGCTCTCAGATGATGAGAGAGATGAGGATTTCACACCTGGGATAAAAGAGGGTCAAGAAGAAGAAGGGGGGGAAAGATACAGGAGGCTCCATGAGCACAGAGACAGACAGACAGACAGACAGACAGACAGACAGAGAGACAGATAGGGACGAGCTGGAAAGACATGGCCCTCTGTGGGCCAAGAGTAGCAGGTATGTCTTATTGTTGTTTTTATTTTAAGTGGAGCCATGAAAAATGAGAGTTGCCTCAGGAATGCCAGCTTTGTTTCTATGAGCAGGTCAAATGGAGACCACATCCATAAAACTAGTCAACATGACCCTACAGCCGTGCCGACTGGAGTCAATGAGGTTCTTTTCCCACTACATTGACTACAAAGTCTTTGAAGATCCAGAAAGATTCACCAAAAACCAAACTAGTTTTTTAGTGACCAAATAAAAAGCAATGTAAAGATCAATGACTTATTTTAATAAATAATATCACTCTATAACCATAATACGTTACATAGTCTGTTAATGTTGGCTGTCTTTTTAAACTAAAATGGTCCTGACGTCCTCTACAGTGGACATACTGTAACAAGTCTAAATTGCAAGATGTTTTTTGAACCCTAAATAGATAGGAAATAAAGATTGAAAATAAAAAATGTTCCTCGGTTCCCAGGAGGATAGGCAGCCTTTCCAAGTCATGTCCAATCAATTGAATTTAGCACAGGTGGACTCCAATCAAGTTGGAGAAACATCTCAAGGATGATCAGTGGAAACGAGATGCACCTGAGCTCATTTTGATTGTCATAGCAAAGGGTGTGAATACTTATGTACATCAAGACAATCTAAAAAACATGTTTAGACACTTTGTCATTATGGGTTATTGTGTTTAAAATGTTGAGGGAAAAAATGAATTGAATCCATTTTGGAATAAGGCTGTAACAGAATGTGTCAAAAGTGAAGGAGTATGACTACTTTCCGGATGTACACGTTTCTTCTTCTTCTTATTATTATTATTAGCGTTCTTAATATCCCTCTGTTTGTTCTCACGTGTACTGCCTATGTTTCACTCTCATTCTGTTGCTGATATTACACCTGACGATCCCTTTGGGGATCAATAAATCGCCATCTCGTCTAACTTAAATAAAATCCAGATTTTTGCCTAACCATTGTGCATTTTGCTAAAATCCTCCCTTCTGCTTGTTTCTCCTCCCTCCCTCCCTCCTCAGTCTCCAGGTGGCGCAGCTCCCTATCCAGCCCCTCTCCAACCTCCTCCCCCGGCCTTCCTCTGAGTCGAGTGGCCGGAGTGTCCCCCCTCACTTCCTCCCCTTGTGCCAAACCCTTCTCCACCCTCCAGTCATCGGAAAGACACGGTAACGTGGACTCAAAACATTTCAAATCCAATATCCCTGGTATTAAAGTAACAGTTGTTGCTCTCCCCCCTCAGTTTCGTCCCTCTCCTCCCCATTCCACCACCGGACGATGAGTCCTGCAGGGAAGGATCTCTCCCCCTTTTCTGAGAGGACTCCCACGTTCTTCCCCGCGCCGCGCAGTAAGCCTCAGTGCTGCTTCTTGTATATTTAATATGTTCACACTTCCTGCCTCAGACTGTAGAGAACATCACACTGAATGTGCTCTTCAGAGGAGGTGCAGGTGTAGACACCGAGTGTAGAACTGGGTCAGCAACAAGCTTTTTACAGATCGCTTCAAGTCGTGGGAGTAAGAGAATATATGCAGCTTCACTCGCAGAAATCAAATCCGGGCCACAGCCTTTTGTGCATTATTTGTAACGGAAAGAAATAATGTTCCAGGCTCAGTGGGGGGGGTCGCTGCAGGGAACGGGGATTCAGTGTGTGTGAGCCTCGGGGGGCTCACTGGAGGCGTGTTATCCCGAGGCTCATTTCCATGACGGCGCTAGTCCAAACGGGGATACAAAAACAAAACTCAAAAATCCTGTGTCCAAATTCCGTCTACGAGACTCTGTGAGAAAATGAAGACAGACTTTTGTTATATTTTCTGAAAATGCGAAATATTCTGTCTCCCTCCCAATTCCATTGAGGTGAATACATTTCAAATATAGGTGCTCATTTACAAACACCATTTGAAAGACAATCAGCAAGTCATTCCAGAAAAGCTGTTCAGACAATCTCCGAATAATCTGAAGCTTGAACTGTTTTATTACTGTAGAGACTAGTTCAGTGCTGAACTAGCATTAGAGGGAAAGAGAAATATGTCTAATGTGAAGCCTAACAGCCTCATAACGGGTGAAGAACTCTTGGCCTGATGAGCACATAAAAGCAAAATGGGAAAGAAGTCATTGGAATAATACATTATGTTCTCATAATGACATCAGAGATATCATTAAGCGGGGGCAGCTTGGTGTGACCTTAATACATTCTGAATCTCTCACCGACCCTTCATCTGTATGCAGAGAACACTCGAGGGCTTTTCTCATTCATTTGTTTAACACCGAGTCAGAAACAAGAGGTGACACAAGGAGTCAACGTGTTCTCTAACGCTGCTTCTCTTTCTGTCAGAAGGCCGCAGCCTCCGGCGCTGCGCCCTCAGCCCGCAGTCGTCCATGGACAGCGACTTCGGCTCTTCAGAGGTGGACGACGACTCCATCTCTCTGGGATACAAACTGCAGGACCTCACGGACGTCCAGGTCATGGCCCGCCTGCAGGAGGAGAGTAAGTTATAGGCTCAGCAGTGGAGATTCCTGACCTGAGACCAAGTGTGTCACGTAGGGGCTTTGTCCCACTGCACGCTGGCTGTGTCTTTCTTTAAGGTCAGGGGTTCCCAAACTGGGGGGTGATGTAGAACATTAGTTAATCGTTATGTTCTTCCTGTGTGAAACGGGTGTATGAATGTTAATCACCATAAACAAGAAGACTTTGTAGATTGCAAGACTTATTCATTCAGGCTCAACACTGTCTCTCTAAAGTCAAATGCTACTCTGGTACACAAAATCTATTTAAAAAAAAAAGATTGCTTATAGAAACAGACAATTATGAAATATAACAGAAAATCGTATTTGTCAAATTCAACTTATTTTAAGTTTAAGTGCATTTTTTATTTTGAACACATGACTCATTTAGTACAAACCTGACTTTGAACTATGACTTTTCAGATGAGACACATCTGGTGTCCAGAAGCCAAAAAGCACCGTCACATAACAAAATGTGTTGCTATTGTCCTTTGTGTTTTAACTCTAAACAAAGAAACAGTGAGCAATAAAGGTGATATGATATAACATTCAAATGGAGTTAGGTGTTTTAAAAAGGCTGTAACATCCAAACATCTCTCTGTTAAAATGATATTGTTGTCCATCAGTCCTTCTAAAAGTTGATCGGTGACATTTCCCTGCATTTGAAGTGGAAAATAATTTCTGGGGCCTCATTTATAAACGGTGCGTACGCACAAAAAATGGCGTACGCCAGTTTCTACGCACTGTTTGAGATTTATAAAATACTAACTTGACGGGAAAACGTGCGGTCCTCCACGCAAACTCTAAGCCATGCGTAGGCCTACGCACTAAGCACAAAAACGGGAGAGACGAGAAACTGCGACACCGTTGGCAGAAGGAAGAATGGAGAGAAATATGTGGAAATAATACCATAAATAAAATGTTACCTCTCATTTATCATATGAAGAATTCATTTTTCAAACATTGATCAAAGCCAATCTTAAAATGATTAAACAAACGCCTGTTTGAGACTCCTCAGTGCACACAAAAACATAACTTGGAGAAATAAATAAATACGGATATGTTATTTAAAACCACCTCGAATATGTTGTGTTAATGTTATGAAATGTTTTCCCATAAATGATGCGGTAAGCAGGAGGACAGAATTACATCTAAACTGACGCCGTTTTGCATTTCTATAGGATGTAGATACGAGCATGGTTTTATATACTATCACGTTTAATCGTGTTTTATGCCGTTTGCTAAGACTTGATAAGTCGCTCATAAAACACAGGAGGTATGGAAACTAAGAGCACCATATGTGGTAAATTGTACAGCTAATGTAACACAACACATTAGTTGTATTTCCTTTAACTGGTGGATATAGAGTTGCTGCAGCGGAGACGCTGCGCACAGCTGATCGACAGCTGGAACACAAACCACCAAATACAAAAACATAATTCAGATCCAGTCGTCATGACTCCACTCCGGAGGGATTCCCCGATCATTCCTTACAGTTTCTCATCAAGGGGGTGTCTCCTGTACCCCGG